AACCAGGATACTGTGATTCTGGTTCTGTCTTAGCCATGAAAGCCAGCTGGGTGACTCTTTACTGAGCCCACGACCTCAAGTTCAGGAGACAAATTGATTGGTCCATACCTGTCACAACCAATGGATTTGGTTGAGCTGGGGAAAAAAGTGAACTTAGTACTTGCTGAAAACACTAGGAAGAAAAGAAAGAAAAATAAATATATGTCCTTCATTCCCTCATTCAAAATAAAGGCAAAGAGCCAAATCTGATGTGGCAGATTACAGTATTCTTCTGTCCACTTATCTGCTCCATTCTCCAGTGATTTCAGGACAGAGCAATCTTTATTTTTGGAAAGAGACAGGCAGAGCCCTAGAGATCTGCTGGGATAGGAGCTAACTGGATCTGCCAAGTATTAGAAATCAGCAGTATCTGTAAGACTACAGGTTCCCCATTCTTGCCTTAAGGCCCCATTGCATGGTCATGAGGCAGAATTTGAACCTGCTCAATTATCCATTACCAAGAGTTCCTCAGATTGAGTAGATCCTACTCTCTGAATATCTGAGGTTTTCATCTTTTTCCTCCTTTCTGTTGCTGTAATTCTTAATGAATGGCAAAATACATTGTAATATAAATTTTTAATGGGTATAGAAAACATCTTAAATCTCTTTTCCAGTCTGCTATTTTTCTTCTTCCAGATCAGTTTTTCTATGGCTGGCATTTCATCCATGCTGTTTTTGCAGTCTTTCCAAGTTTTCAGCTTGGTGGTTTTTCTGTGTGAAAATATTATGTGAGTGCAACTATCTGCTTCTCAGTTATAACTTTAGTCAGCTTTACCTGCTTTTATAAATCTGGGAAAAAGGCAATAACTCATAGTCCAGTAATAGAGGAGGGTATTCAGACATATCTGCTTTAGTCCAACAGGACTTCAGATTTTCTCCAAAAGAGTTAAAGAGATCTTAGCAGTTGCAACTCTGGGGTGAAAGTTGCTAGTTTTATATAAACTGTCAGTTCTTTGGAAATCCTGAAAATTGGATTGTTACATAATCAACCTACTTTCATAGAAAATGTGAAAAATGTAACTATTCAAAACCATATGAAATATTAGTCCTGCTTTACATTGTACTGGTAATACCACTCTTGGTACATCCAGTTTTGGTCACCATGATACAAAAAAAGATATTGAGATTCTAGAAAGAGTGCAGAGAAGAGCAACAAAGATGATTAGGGAACGGGAGGCTAAACCATACAATGAATGGTTGTGGGAACTAGATATATCTAATCTAATGAAGAGAAGGACTAGGGTTGACATAATAACAGTCTTCCCTTATTTGAGGGGCTATCACAGAGAAAAAGGAGACAACCTATTCTCCAAACCACCTAAGGGCAGGGCAAGAAGTAATGGATGGAAGATTATCAAAGAGAGATTCCAACTAAATTAAGAAACTTCCTGACAGAACAATTAATCAGTGGAAGGCTTGCCTCCAGAAGTTGTAGATGCTCCATCACTGGAGGTTTTGAAGAAGAGATTGAACAACCATTTGTCTGGAATGGTATAGGTTTCCTGCTTGAGCATGGGGTTGGACTAGATCCCTTCCAGCTCTATTCTGTAGTCGATAAGTTCATGAAGCTAGGGGAAAAAATGCCATTTCTTCATCTATGCCCATACATGAGGAAGGCTGGATGCATTTAGAGGCACTTGAGATTCTCTCTGCTTTATCTTTTGTATCAGTAAATGAAAATAAAACTGCTATAAAACTGTGCTGGGAATACAGCTTTAAGTACTGAGATAAGAACCCAAGCAAATAGAGGCTCTCCCCCATTCTTAAAGAAAACTGGTCAGCTGCCCACAGAACCTGCTGATAAAGCCCCATCTGTTAAAACAAAGTGCTGGAAAGAGGGTAATAAATTTCAGAAAGAGACCAAGAGAGGTTATTTTTGCTTAACAGGATTTGGTGAGAAGTTTCCCCCTCCTCCTGTTTTTGGAAACCAGCAAAACTTTTGAAAGTGAAATATAGATTATGACTATCAGCTTTAGAGTTAGCTTTACACTTTTTTATGGAACCAGTGAGAAATCTCACTGCACATTTTATTTCCCTGGCAAACGGCATAGCATGATAAACTGTTATGAGAAGAAAGTACGAAGAAAAAAACTGCTTCAGAGAATGACCTATGTACAAAAACAGCAGATGTCGGTGATGCACAGAGCCGACCCATTGCCAAGCCTTTGGAAAACGCAGTTAATTTCCTTTTGACTTTGATAATAATGATGTAGTGGATTGAGGAGGAATAGCCTGCCATGTGTACAGTTATTACAGTTATTAAACGAAGAAATGTTTTGCCATGCAATGGTGGGGGGACACCTTGGGGTTATTTATGGCTGTGTCTGGCAAATAGCAACAGAGAACTGCAAGTTGATAGATTTTATCTGGATTGAGCATGAAAGGTGGTCCTATATTTATTTTGGTGTCAAGCTATGAAAGTTTTATACAATAAAACCAGCACATAGAATTATACTTGGAAACCTATTCACAGTCACTGCAGTGATGTTATATGGTTATGCCGGCTCTTGCCTAGCAAAAGATGAGCTTTCACATTAGGTTAATCTTCAAAGCAAAGTCCATGTAAAATACATTGCAGTAATCCTGTCTAAAGATGATGAAGGCAATAGTTACTATTACCAAAGCCTCCTGCTCAAATAAGATGGCACCTGGCATACTAGTTATGGCTGGGTAAAGGCTCTCCTAATCACGGACCCCACCTGCCGGTCCAATGTAGCTAGGAAACTATCAAGTCATGAACCTGCTCCTTCAATGGTATCATACATTGTCATACATTTGCTGACTAAAATGAAAGTAGTACCTACCCACGCTCTCTTGTGCTAGAGTTCAACTACCTATCCAAATACTCTTTCTCTAGCCTCCAGACATGGGATCAAGGCCACTACTGCGTCTCTAACTTGGCTGGGGTACAGATGTACAGGAGGGTATAATAAATGAACTGATGATAGCTCGTTCCAAAGTATGGAGAACCTCCCCTGGCTGGTTAATGTATAAACTGAAAAACAAGGGAGTGTCAACCCTTCAAGGTAGTCCAGGCAAAAAAGCACAAACCACAAGTACTAACATTTCATTGTAAGTAGATTTACTCTTCTACCCATTTTAGTATATGCAAGTGAGAGATGATATACTAGGAGAAATAGAAAAGTAAATTGAAGTGGGAGTGGAAAAGAGCATGGAAAATATCAATATTAAATGCTTTAATTAATTTTAAATGCATTCATATGTCAATTAAATCAATTTTTTTCTGACTCTGGCAGCTTCCTCACTCTGCTACTGCCTGTTATTTTGACCACTTGTTCCCAGTTTGCCACACCAAGGCCATGTGTGGATCTGGATGTCAAAAATGTTGTGCAACCCGGTTTCGAAGAGTAGACTGGACCATGCACATAATTATACTATTTCTAAGTGGTGAAATAAAATGACCCGATCACTCAGGGCAGATCAAAATATATCCCTCCCTGGAAAATGCAGTTTCAGGAAAACTTGCAGAAGATCTGTAATTATAGTGTAATGAACATGCAGGGAGCTTCTATTAGGAAAAAGTAAGGTAACAAGTAGTAAAAAGTAAGGCTTTACACTTAGGCAAAGTTAGGTTTTACACTTAGGCAAGAAAAACCAAGTGTACAGGTACAGATTAGGTGAAACTTGGCTCAATACCCGTAACTCTGAGAGGAATCTTGGAGTCCTAGTGGACAATCAATTATGAGCCAACAGTGTGCAGCAGCAGCCAAAAAAGCCAACACAATCCTAGGTTGCATTAACAAAGGGATAGAATCAAGATCATGTGAAGAATTAGTACTGCTTTATAAAGCCTTAGTAAGACTGTACTTGGAAAACTGCATCCAGTTCTGGTCACCACAATATAAAAAATCACTCTGGAAAGAGTGCAGAGAAGGAACACCAAAAATGATTAGGGGACTGGAGACTAAAACATACAAAGAACGGTTGCAGGAATTGGGTATATCTTATCTAATGAACAGAAGGACTAGGGGTGACATGATAGCAGTGTTATAATATTTGGACTCCAAAGGAGGGAGTCAACCTATTTTCTAAAGCACTAGAAGGCAAGACAATAAACTGGATGGAAACTAATCAAAGAGAGAAGCAACCTAGAACTAAAGAGAAATTTCCTAAGGGTGAGAACAATGAACCAGTGGAATGGCTTGCCTTCAGATGTCTTTTAAGAAGAGACAGGACAGCCATTTGTCTGAATGGCTGTCCAGTCAGGGTCTCTTACTCAAGCAGGAGGTTGGACTAGTAGACCTCCAAGGTGCCTCTCAATTCTATTATTTTACGTTCTCGGTTCTACAGAATATCCCTGCATTTTTGCGTTAACGGCTGGAGACCTTGTAAATAAGTAGGTAAAGGAAAAAGTAAAGGAGTCCCTGCGGATTTTACTCTGCTAGTCATTGCCGACTTTAGGGGGCAGTGCTAATCTTCGTTTCCTTGTAAATAGGAGAGGGTATATTTTATCGTAACATGAAGCTAACAAATTTATCTTTAGACTTCTTAGAACTTCAATAAAAATGAGTGGTCTCCCGCATCCCCATCACGAGCACATCAAGTTGTATAAACGCAAACATTTCACACAAATGAAAATCCAACTAGGCACTGTTCTTTGTTTTTTCTGCTTTCTCGGAAACTTTGACAGACAGTTCTGTTCAGTACAGGCAGACAGTTTGCTATGGACAGGGTAAGGTATGCAGCAGCAAACACATTTGGTGGGAAGAAGAGATGTATATCTTAAACACAAGGCTACATGTGGTGGACATTTGCTGGAGATTGTGGCTAGTGGAAAGGATGCCCCACAGAGTGAGAAGCTCCACAAGGCAAAAACTGCCAGGTGCAGAAAATAATTTATTGTTGGATTAATTCCCTGACACATTTCAAACATGCAAGTTTTGCCTCGGGAAAAATTAAGATATGAAAATAATCTTGTAGTCTGGCCTGTTCTTTTCCAGATCACATCAAAAGTACAGACTTTTTGGGAACCGTTCAGAAATTTTGGAAATGGATATTCCCAAATCCAAAGCAAGAGAAAAGAAGAATGGAATATATCCCATAATACAGTACAATACAGTTATGGAAACAGGAGTCACTTACAGTCATAACAATAAACTCTACTATTCTCCCTTGTTCTCATTTTTTGCTTCACAAAAAAATCATTGTATTTAAAAGTTGGGAGACAAGTATTATTTGGAAGACTCTGTGAAAATGCTTTGTCCTTATTTTTTTTCCTCTTCTATTTCAGCTCTATCTCATTCTTATTATATTATCACACACCTCTTCCCCAGCTTTGTTACTGCCAGGGCCCCACCAATTGTACAATGCAAAATTTTATTTATCCATTCATGGATATATAAACAGCTCCAATCAAGGTGACTTTAAACTGTATATCAAAACCAAACTCATGAAATTTACAATTGTCTAAATCTCTGGTTTAGTATAATCCTTGAAAAGCCAGCTTGTTTTTTCTCCTTCAATCCAGAAATGGGTGATACTTTCAAATTTCTCCAATAAAAGCCTCCCCCCCCCTTCATCAGAGAAACTTCCTTTCCCTGTCCTTGGATGTACTTTTAATAGCAGGCAAATTTGCAGCCATGTAACAGTCTTATAATTTGCTAGGAAAACACATGTCATCTACCACACTGATCTGGCATGATTTGGCATCATTGGAGAGATAAAGGCTTGTCAGGATGTCCTGATGGTGCATTTGCTAATACTTTCAAAAACCTTCCTTGAAACTATATCCCTAAAGATTTATCAGTAAGGATGTTTGGTAAAGCAACAGACCAATATCTGAACAAATCCAAATATACATCATACCAAATGCATGGTATGTGGCTATAAAAACTATAAAATTATTGCCACCCCTTTTAGGAGGGAAGGGAAAAAAGCTATCGGTTAATTCAGAGAGCTCTATGGGCAATATTTAGAGGATATGAGCCCTCATTGGCTGACACCCTATGCCCAATAATTAGGCAGCTTGGGCTGAACAATGATTGATAGGAGGAGGTGCTATTCACAAGGTCCAAACTCATGTGAGTATGACCAACATCACCTTGGAAATGTTTTTGATCTGAAGGATGAGAACAACGTGGAGGAATCATAGACTGGTTTTAACTTTCATTGGCAATGATTTTTTTACTGGGTAGATTGGTGGTATGCAGCAAAGATTGCTTTTTTCTCTTAGTAATAACAACTTATTTGGGAATTGTGGAAGAAATGGGATTATATCATAATATAATGCATGTAGATTTACTATATGCCAATATGCTTGTTTGTGTTCATATATTGACAGTTTCCCTTTGCTGCAAAGTAGTCCTTCAGTGCTATCTGATTAATCAGTGTTTTTCCTACTCCATTTTCACACCTCCATTCCTTGCTATTGTATCCCCATCCTCCATTAATCAATTAATTCACATGAAGTCCAAGTTATCTTTTTTCCTTCCCATTTGTCTGAAAGAAGTAACTGGATTTCAGAAAATAAAGCCTAATTTCATTTCAAAGGCAACTACTGTGCTCCATACTGTGCTAATTTGTTTGTATCCCTTCCCTTCATCTTACTTCTCCTTGTACTGTATTTTAGCAGCCAACCATCAATTGAGAATAATGGCCTCTGGAGGGTGGATTTTTCTTTTCTTTTTTCTTTTGCCTATCTAGCAGGAGGAAAAGCCAATGAGGGGGAAGCAGGGAGTTAGGTGGTTATCAGTTTTGGGCTAATTAAGGTCGAAACTTGGCTGGGATCAAACAAAATGTACTGAGATATCGGTCAGGAATGGGGCAGGTAGATTATTCCCAAAACACTTTGGCCAGGCAGAGCAGTGATTAAAAATGTTCACAGATAAAAGCCTTAACACAGCTGCTATCTCGGTGAATCTTTGCTTGAAAAATACTGTCCCCTTGAGTATTAGTGAGCCCTTGTGTTTAATCTTGAATTTTGGCTTTGTCTATTGGTTGTGGCTTCTGATTTTATTATTATTCACTATGTAGTATCAGGTGCCTATTTGCCTGAGGCTATTGCTGGAGGCTCAGCATGAATTCATAGCAAATGGAGAATGAAGACAGTGCCCCTTAATCCAGATTGTATATGGATTTTCTCCCAGCCTGTTAGAAATTCGGTAATAGTGAATCTATAGTGAACATTACAATAAACCTATTGTACAACATAGGTCCGTGATGGCGAACCTATAGCACGAGTGCCACAGGTGGCACGGGGAGCCATATCGGTGGGCACGCGAGCTCAGCTCCGGCATGCATGCGTGCACCGGCCAGCTGATTTTTGGGCCTTCTGGGCCCACCAGAAGTCAGGAAACACACTTTCTGGCCTCCGGAGGGCCTCTGGGGGGTGGGGAAGCCCGTTTTCGCCCTCCTCAGGCTCCTAGAAAGGTTCTGGAGCCTGTAGAGAGTGAAAAACAGGCCTACCGGGCCCACCGTGCCATCACGTGCCAAAAGTGGGGGGAGCACGGGGGGGCACATAGAATTATGAATGTGGGCACGCATGCGTGTGACCCCACCTTGCTCCCCCCCGCTTTTGGCACGCGATGGCAAAAAGGTTAGCCATCACTGACATAGGCAGTTAGATTTTGCTGGCCAGTGACATCATTGGGAGCAAGACAGGGAATTTAGATCTTAATGTATCCTTAAAAGCAATTATCCAAAGGTTTCTAAGAGTTACCTTTGATACTGGTAGATTGCTTGTCCACCCCGCTGAGCAAGGTACTTTCTTTGGCTTAACTTTGGCAATGGATGAAGCAATGTTAATTGGTCCAGTGGGGAAAAAATCCTGCTGGCAATTGTAGGATCTGTGGGATAGAGCAGAGTAAGTTTTTTGGATAGAATTTGACCCTTTATGCCATTTGATACTTCTCTATGTGGAAGTTGCTTGTTATTTAATCTAATTCTAAAATCCTTGATCAGCTCAACAGGGTTGAAATATGTTATTGAGTTCATTTTTAATCTGATACCTGCTCCTGTTTATGTTATGGTTCTTGGCACATATTTGAGATGACAAGTCCTATTGTTTTAAGCGTTTTTTTAGATTAGGCCTTTGCCTCCATCTGCTGAATCAATTGTCACATCTTCTTTCCTCCTTTACATTAAAACTTTCAATCAGTGTCAGCTCCTCTTTCCCACTCCCAATGAATTCAATGCATGCTATGTTTATTTTTTAACTGAAGTTGTTCCAGTTTTGAAGTAATATTTTTCTCTCTCCCAACCTGTTGCAGCATATGCCTTTTGGAACAGCAGCCCCCCCAAGATTCATACTACCTTTACCCTGACCTCCTTTAAACAGACTTTAAAAACCTGGCTCTGTTTCCAAGCTTGGCCTAGAATATGCACCAAGACAAATTCCTTGTGTGTCCAATCACACTTGGCCAATAAAGAATTCTATTCTATTCTATATATGGTGAGAATGTTTTCTCACAGACAAAGGCAAATATAGGTGTCCCAGGATAATGTTGCAGGATCCAATGTGAGTTGGTCACCAGGACCAGAGGGTTATTGTTCCAAGCTTTAGGATTTGTGCTGGAGCCCATCCATAGGGAACTTCTCTTTCTCCAGAATGTGCACGCTGAACTAGTCTATGAGTAATGTTTATATGGTGCCTGGTGGTATGTGGGTTTTAGTTGTAAATTGGGATGTAGCTGGCCATCAACACCCCAATTAACAACTAAAAGCCATATACAACCAGGCACAAAATAAATGCTACTCATAGAACAGCCCAATGCACACATTCTGGAGAGAAAGATGTTTCCTATGGATGGGTTCCAGCATGAGTCCGAAAACCTGGAACAGTAACCCTCTGGTTCCGGTAACTGACTCATATTGGATCCTGCAGAATGCTTTCTGTTTCAACAGGCCAGCCTGGCCTAACTTTTTTCCCTTTTAACTTTTTAAATTTTAAATTTGTCTTAAGTATTGGAGGTGTTTTAATTTGTCCCGGGCCAAATTATCTAATGTGGTTTTATACTGTCTTTTAAATTTTGTAATCTATGTGTTTTATTTTTTGGCTGTTCACCGCCCTGAGTCCTTCGGGAGTAGGGCGGTATATAAATTTAATAAAATAAATAAATAAAATAAATAGGCTATGTTTTATTGGTCTTACTGGACATTATCTGTTGTATTGTTTCAAACTTTTTTCATTAATGTATACTTCCTAGAGTCCTATGTGAAGCTGAGAAATTCTGGAACAGATGAGGGATTAGGCACTTTAATTCTGCCTCCTAATATAACAAGGGTCAAAAGAAGTTGATGTCATCAGAAAGAACAGGCTCTCCAAATTTCCCCTAATTTTTTTGGAGGGAGGGGAATTTCAAGAATGGGAAGGGGAATGGCCTATCTCTCAGAGGCTCCCTGGTTACTCTGTTCTCTCTTTTATTTCGGGGAACGGGAGAAAAGACGGGGGGGGGGGGGAGAGAAAGGAATTAATAGTGCAATCTTTGGATATAGTAGCACAACTGAAATGTCAGGATGTTATGTAAGCTGTAGATAGTTTACTCTCATCTATGCAATGGTACATGAGTTCAATTCCTGATAGAGGGTTTGAACCCCATAGAATAATATCTGGCTAGCTGTGTCTGAAGTTTCCCTAGAAGGTGGAATTGGTAATATGGTGCCTCATGGTGGCACTGTAACCTCACCTAGAAGCTGGTGTGGCAGACAGCTGTACATTCATAAAATAAGTTGTAAAAAGAAATGGCATGATACCCCCCAAAAGGTGGAAAAGTAAGATGCCAAGCTGTATTGATGCAGGCTTTCATGTAGCAAGAATCCCAACAGTGCAGTTCTTGTTTGCATAAAAACCTTCTGCGCACAATTCTACCCGCAAAGCTCCCCTTGATGTTTGCATAGGCATCTGGAAAAGGGCACTTTCATATTGGAAACTGGGTACTTGCTTCTGGACTGGATACTTGCTGATGTTCTGTATGTGTTGTAATAATTGTAATGAGTCAGTAATTTGGTATTCTCTGCTATAAAAATAAAATAAAATAACTGATGATTGACATTCCATGCTCCTGATGTTTATCTAATGGCATCTATTCACTTTTGTGGGGAAATGAACATTTAACAGGTTAACAAAGTTGGAAGGGACCTTATATGTCATTTAGTCCAACCTCCTGCTCAA